GAGCGTGAAGGGTAAGTGAGGAGTTAGCTATTCAAGAGAACAAGAATAAACATTCCATTAGGTATTAAAAAAAACTTGAAATATTGTCAGCTAATCAATTTCCTGTTTGGACATGCTCGCTTTTAATGAAATTCAGTCAGTTATTAGTCCCTTCCCCTTTTTCCAGTGTTAGGGAATATAATTACGTTGAAAATGCTTACTCATCCTTCTGCCTGCCTGCTGCCTACTCTGTCAGATGCATTAGGCCATGAAGCGGAATAGATGAGGAGCCTGTGTCTGTATCTGTCTATCTGTCAGTCCTCCTGACTGTCTGTATGCCTGACTTTTAGATTATCCCGGATCAGGCAGCAGGTGACATGGTGAGCAGGTGACCATCACCCAATTACCAAAGAGAAACTTGAGAAAGCTCCAGTGTAGTTTGCGTTTCTTTCTTTCTTCTCTTGTCTCCTGAAAAAGGAAAAGGAAAAAGCTTTATCAGGTAGCATGCAACTTAACAAGCAAGAAAATGCATCCGTCCTTTCATGCGTATTTTTTGCTAGTATTCAAATGACGCTGAAGGTTAAATATACTACAATAAACCATGTTATTACCGAAAAGAATGCAGAATAAAATCCCAAATATTCTAAAAGTGATTAATAATGTCAAATTAATTTGACAAAATAAAAGGATGAGAACAAATTTTTACTTAAAAATTTCAAAGTCTAAAGGAGAAAGACTTTGCTAGTCAACAGGTTATTCTTAGGGCAAGGCCAGGGATTGTGTTACGCTCTTTGTTACCACAAAAGAAGAGAAAGGTAGAGCTTCTTCTCAGCTTTTGTTAGGTGCAGGTGGGCTAGAATTTCCAAAGTGATTGGCATAAAGGATTTATGCCGGGTTGTTTCTGCATTTTTTTTTCTGGGAAGGTGGCGGAAGTATTCTCCGAAATTGCCAGGGTAAATGTGCTCATAGTTTACTTGTCGAATAGAAAGGTTCATCACCTCATTATGTGGGTTTTTGGTGTGCTAAAGCCAATACTAGTTCCTATAGATACAGCAAATGATTTCCCACACAATGCTGTGAAACTTTAGAGTTGCGAGGGATTACAGCGCTGGCAGGCGATTTACCTTGGTTTAGTCACTGAACAGATCAGCAAGTCTACCAGTTTCAGCCGTGAAACAGTCTGCTGCCATTTTGACCCTTGGCTGGTTGTAGAAATGGGGCTGGAAATGGAAGACATTGACCTGGTGTCACGGACAGATGTACACATTAGTTTACAGTGGCTGCACTGCAGCTGTGCCGCTCAAGGAAATGGAATTGGCAAAAGGTATCACCTCTAATGTGACCGCAGTCTATGAATACTGGACCTAGAGCTATATATTAAAAATACATTTTGTCGAATTGTTCTGCATTAATAAAATGACCCAAGCTTATCTTATTGGTAACAGCATGTACCCAGATTTCAGTCACTTTTTCTCCACTGCAATTGTAATGACTTCAATGTAGAGAAGCAATTTTCAGTTTTATGTAATTTCAGTGAAATCACCGAGTTTACGAAATGCTGTCAGCATTACAGCACTGATTGATTAAGTAGGTGTTTATGGTAAATATCTTGTCACTTCCTTAAACATATTCCTGTGCCAGCTAATCTGATTGGAACAGCCAGACCGGTCATCATGTGTTCTAACAAGGTGTTGGGTTTCCCATCGTCCTAAGCTGTACAGTGACACGGGCCATTTGAAAGTGTGGCTAAAACTCTATGGAAGAAATGACTCGTTAAATTAGCACCTAATACTCCAGTCATTAGCAAGCCGTTACCACCACTGGAATGCCTTTGATGGCGCTGCTTTGTGTGAGTAGGTCCCTTGTAAGCTCCACTTGGAAAAATCTCTCCATTTAGATGTTGGAATATTACACAACTGCTTTCCATTGTAACGCACACAAGCAAAACAAAAGAAGATGCCCAAAACAGTGATTTAGTGTGTTCTCTGACCCTTAAACGACTGACGTCATATCCACAAATAAAACTACAGAGAGTGGAAATGACCGGGCAGCATAAAACACCGTATTCTCTGAGAAACAGGTCTTTGGGGTCTTTGGTAAGCTGAAGGGAATTGTCCATTGTGGGGTGATATCAGTAACCCTCTTAGGCAAAGCTAGTCTGTGGGCCGACCCCGAGGGCTCATTTCAAGTGCTTAGTGCTCGTTTGGAGCTTTGTCACCCCTCGCCCTGTTGCCAGCATGGCCCCATCCCCTCTGGCTGTGGTGGCGGAGCTGTACCACAGACCTTTACCCCTGCCCACCACCAGGGAGGGAACACTGACATCACAGCTCTAAGACACACACTCACGCACACACACACACACACACATTGACTAAGATTGTAGCACACATCCATTTTCACATTGCCCCCCTCCACCACGGCACCACAGCCAATGGTCTATTTTCCCGCCGTCCACTCCTTTCCAACACCCACCCCCCACCCCTCGCCCCTTTCTTATGTTTTTCCTCTTTCTCCACCCTCGCGAAGGTTGCCAGGCAGCAAAGAAAGACTTCACACACACATACACCCCACTATGCCTCTGAGGGTTATCCGGATGTCCTTGTTTACATCATGGAGTGTGCAGGACGTAGGGAAGCAGATTCAGAGCCTCCCTGACTATGTCTCTCGAAGTCCTACACTGACCTCCATTCATTTGTTGTCAGTGTGAAATGCTCAGGGCAGTAATGCATTTGCTGTAAACATTGCTACAATAATCTACTGTACTTACAATGCTTTTAAAATATTTGGTGTAAATTTCAAAGATAAATTCAAAATTATTGATTGTCTTCATGCATTTAGCTGTGCTTAGGATTACTTCATTTGGTATAGAAGAGAGTTTTTTGGCTCTGATAACATTTATCGGCTCTTATATTGGCTGTGTGTGTGTGTGGTGGTTGCTGGCTGTTACTAGGCTGTCTTTTCCCTGTGTGTCAAACCAATCGATTGGTTTGTTTGCTCCTCCCTCCAACTTTGATGTTACCATTGATTGTTCTCATCTGCCCCTGAACTCAAAGGTTAGAGGAGCTGAGCTGCACTTCTGAATTGCTTTGACCTTCGCTCTGCACATGCTCAGTGGGTTTACAGAGCCCAGAGCCAAACAGACATGGTGTAGCCAGGCCCGTGGGTGCGTGACAGCCAGACAACGGTGTGATGTCTTTTTTTCCCCTTTAACTCACCCACTGAGGATGATGTATATGTGATTGATTTTTCTCCTACCTCTCTCTCTAACATGTTTCCGCTGCAGTGCGCTAAGCAGGACTGAGTCCAGGCTTGATCAATGCATTGTTTTTCTTTTTCAATCACACTCGAGTGAGCTGAAGACACGAAAGGTTACACAGGTGAGGTTTGGCAGGGTATGGAAGCAAAGCAGCGCTTCTGGAGGCCCCCTCAAGGCCGGTGTATGAGTTTGCCTGGGATGTTTGTGTGTGCGTGCGTGCATGTGTGTGGGGGGAAAAAAAGGAGTGAAAGAAAGACTAACATGCAGAGAGAAGTTGAACAGATTCATGTTTTTCTAACAACTTCATCTTCTGGTCTCACCAGTCTTAGTTCATGCTTATTATGTGCCTCATGTTTGTTCTTCACTGGGAATCATTTTCCTTGCCTCTATGTAACCTTAGCTTTACCATCTCACATTAAATTACAGGTCCTTCACAAGTGTCTCAGTTCTCACCTTCCCTTAGATAATCTGCAGGAAGACTACTCTTCTTTCCTCTGTTTGCCTCACAAATGGTTTTCTGAAACACACACAAAGGCAATATGCTCAACAACTTGAGCTGTCGGCCACAGGAGCAGGAAGAGAAGGCTTCATATCAGACACGAAGATCAGTCATTTAAAACACACTCAGGTGTTTCAGCACTCTAAAAAAATAAAGGCTGGAAGTCATCTACCCTGAAGGGGTAAAGAGTGCGGCGTTGTTCTGATTATCTCTAAGTAATGACGCTCTTAAACCCCGTACCCAAACACCTAGTCATTAGGAAAAAGATAAGTATCTGTGGGAGTGGAAGGGCTCTGCTAAAGCTGGATGTCTGGAGGGGAAGGACGTGGCGGGCAGGGAAGGTTTACAGGGTTGAGGTGGGCTAGGTGTGGGAGTGCAGGCTTTGGCCAGTGGGTTTCAGATGTCATGGCAGATTCTTTCAGGGGGAAATTATAGGGTTTAACTTCTCTTGTACCCAGAATGGCAGTATTCTGATTTAACTTCCTCAATAGACACTCGGGCAACAAGCCACTCAGCACCATTGTCAGGGCCACACTTGACTCCGGAGATACTTCACCTCCTCTCACGCTCTCAACAGCTCTTCAAGACTTTGTTCATGGAGGGCCGCCGACAGCCTTTCACGGCAGATCTGGAGAAAGCAGAGCAGGCAGTGAAACCCCTCTTAAGCTTTATAGCAGTAAGCATGTTGGTGTTTGGGGGGTTTACACGAGTGGCCCTCATTAACCTCTTAGCGTCTTTGTGCTTTGAGTTGGCACAGGGCTGCTCTGTAGATAAGCTTTACTGTAAAAGACTTTCTTGTAGACAACTGAGCACAATTTGTGTTACAGTAAAGCAGTCAGCGCTGCTGCACTGATGCAAATGCATCCATCTAGATTTTCCGGGCACAGTTGTGTTGGAACACACACTTTCTCTTACTTCATAAATGAGTGATTTTGTGTCCCATTCACAATTCTCCAAAACAACCCTAACACACACACACACACACACACACACACACACACACACACATATATATTCCTCATGAGGTGTAACAGACCTAAAGCTCTCTGAAGCATTTAGCAACACGCTGGCAGGTTTACTCCATGCTGCCAGTGCTGAGGGGAGTGCTGAAGCATCTAATGCAATTTCAACCCAACATGGCTCTCTGCGAATAAGCATCACTGAAGAGTAACATCTACTGTATGCTGATCCACTGCAGAGCTTTCTTCTTGCACTGACGCTCTGCCCCCTCCCTCTGTCCCTCTTCTCTCTCTCTGATTTGTGCAGAGACTGCATTTGCCTCCAGACTTGTCTGAGACAGTGAGTCGTGTGAGCAGGGGGGAGCTGGCAGGAGCAGTCGCGGTGGCGTCAGCCTGTGGCTCCGGCACTTCCGGCAACAAACACCTGGACTTCTAGAGCTCCCACACAGTCGCTATAGGCAACCAACACCTGGAATGCCGCAGCGTTGTCCTCTTCACTGCGGTGACCAGGTTGTTCCCTTGCCCACATAATGTCAACATCTATAACCCTGCCAGCCATTACCACCTGCCAACTGACACAGCCAGGGGTGAAGATCTAAACATCCACAGTACCTCTTCTCATAACCGACACATTTCTTCCTATATTTCACAGCTCTTCTTTTATTTACACTTAGTCTACATGCTTTTTGTTTTTTTCCTGACTCTGAAAGCTGATATTTACACAATCCACGCTGTCATTACGGACTCATTTCACTTTTGTTGCTAGCAAACCTTTTTCTGTTTTTCCTGCAAGCTGCAGAAACATAGAAACACTGTGTTGTTTTGAAATGTAATGTAAATGGCTGGTAAGGTGATGATTACTTAACCTAAATAAAATACAAGCTGGGTGTTTTTTTCAGGTTTGGTACATTTTGTAAGTTCTTTGTTGTTTTCTCTGCCTCTAGAGAATATGTTTACAAGCAAAGTGCAGCCGTTAATTTTTTTTTTTTAACCTTTCTTTACAGACAGACAGGCGAAGTAAATATTGAATAATTTAACTAATCTCTGGGCCTCTGTCGACTCACTCCACTTTACAAAAGTCTATAAATACAGTTTATTTTGCAGGTTGATCAAATTTTCTTATGTAAAAGTAAATAATAAACAATAAATATACAGAACATGGCACACACTATATTGTGTATATCGCCAACTCTGAGGAGAAAATAGACTGTGAGACTGGGAGGGACTGATCTCTGGTTTGCCTGACTGGTTTCAGGTTTGGATAGGGATGCCTCCATCTGACCCTGAGACTGTGCCTGTGAGTGATGTATACCTCCAGTAAGCAGAGCAGAGCAGGAATGTGGGCAGAGGGTAGGAGAGCTGAATTTGGGTGCAGGCTTCACACCTCATCAGGCATGTTTGCTGGATGAGCTGCTTTGCCATGACAAGCCCAAAAGAACAAATTAGGTCAAACGGTGACATGGAGAAACAGAGGAGAACAAAAAAATCAACATGAAAAATTAAATGTTTCATTTTTATTTTCCTCAGTCTGCTGTTGATGCCAGTTTGAATATTTTTGCTCGTAAAAACTGGCAGTATTGGTAACCATCTGCAACACTTGTCGGGAGAGGGTAGTGTTACCTGACGGATTCATACATGAGTGGAGCGCTCTTGTATCAGGTGTATATTATGAGCAAGAACGAGTTTTCGTACGCAGGTCGCTTACGCATGTGAATGAAAGATAAAAACGCATTTTTTTAAAGTTATTGTTGCTGATGACATATTCAGGGTGCAAATTAAAGGTAGATTAAAATAGAACAGACTCATTTTGACACGTGTTTATGTTCCCGTTTCACTAGCATGCAAGTTTGTTGTTTTTTTTGTTTTACATTATTTAGCCCAAGTTTCTATGTCAGCATGCTGATTCACATTCTGTCTACTCGGTTCAGAAGCACTTGAGCTGATTGTTTTTTTAATTTATAAAATGTTTTGAATCAAATTTAGAATTTAGCATATGACTTATCATAGAGCGGATTTGTCAGCGTCCTCCAACAATGCAGCGGCTTATGATTAGCCAAGTGTTTGCCTGTTTTGTCACCTGTCTTCTGATTGATTCAGTTTTGTTGCTCAAAATGCAATGCGCCTTTATTACTAGGTATGTTACCAGTCTGTAAATGAAATCCGTATTACTGTCGCATAAGATGAACATTCGATGCTGTAGGTATATTATGCAGCTCTTCCTGAAGTAGTGTGGAGATTGCACATCTATATGTTTCTTAGCTAAAGCCAACTATTTGAATATAGTTGCTTTTACTTGGGTTTTATGGATTGTATTTTATCACATACTATTAAAGAAGTAAAAAGTGGGGTGTTTTCTTAACCACATTCAATAAATTTTTTCTGCATTAACTATTTCTCTGAGAAGTTTAGTGTAAAAGCAGATTCCCCTTCAAATGTGTTGTTGTGTGTTGCTTTAGAGATGAGAACCAATTAAGCCATACTTGTCAAAAACATCTTACTCAAAGCTTATACTACTCTTTATTTGTATTCATAATGATGAGGGAGGCATGACTTCATGTTTGCTTCAAGCACACGCTCACGCTGAGACGCTAAGTAGCCGGGCGTCAGCATTTGTTCACTTGCTGTGGGAATTCAGATTCAGATTTCTCCAGGTCAGAATTATTGTGTCTCATTAAAAATCATATCGAAAAGTAAAAAGTTCTCTGCAACTTTTACAGAAACTTCTATTGCCTGACTTTGTTCCGCACAAGAATTACATTTAAACCATTTTATCCCGAAGCTGTGTATTATTTAGACTTCCACTAATTGCAGTCTTTCTTGCATTTTGAATCTCTCTGTAATTATTAATGTTCCTCTTCTGCCTTGCCGCAGTCATCGAGTCCGCTCCGTCTTCCCCTCCTCGTGCTCCCGAAACAGACTTCCTCCATTTGTGTGATAAACTGGATTAAATGAACAGAGAAATTGCTTTAGTCCAAGAAAAAAAAAATCCTCTTAAAAATCTGATTAACCTCCAATCCTGCAAACTTCTAACTGAACTATTTAATATCGAGTGAGACATCTACATGAAGTTGATCAATTTAGCAGGATGTTTGGAGCTGGTACATGCTGAGTGAATCTTACCTGACCTCACTCTCTCATGGATAACTTTTCCTTTTAGATGGTTACTCTCGCTCTCTCTCTCTCCCCCTCCATACCCCTTTAAATCCATACACATACACACACAAGCCCCCCACCCCCTGCTGAGGCAGCAAGTGAAGCAAAATAACTCACTCTGCCACACAATCGCTCCTCCACCTCGCTCTAGGCACTGACTGCTTTATTTCATGACTTTTTTCCCCCCTTTCTCTTCTCTGCTCCCTCCTTTTCCTCATTGGTCCCGTCATCGGTCCTGTATTTTTTTTTCTTTTTCCATACCATCGTAACTCTACTAAAACAAGAGCAAGGGACGTTGAATTGCTTGACCTTTCTCATTGTGTGGTCTGTGTCGACTTGGTTCGGCCCCACACATCAGGAATGTGTTTTTTTTATTTTGGACGCCTTTGTTGGGAAGGAATCGAACGTGTTACGTTCACCACAAGCTGTCGCACTGGCACCGGCCCGTGTTAGAGTTGTTCACTTTAGCAGCGACGATGCAAAAAAAAAAAAACAGAGTTTCTCCTTGCTCAGTAAAAGCTGACACAGCATTAACCAGGCAAAAAGGCTTTCTTTAAGACACAATTTTACTGTACAAAATGTTTTTTATAGTTTTCACAAAATACATTTAGAAAGCTCCATTTTAAATAAAATTAAATTGAAATATTTAAGAGACAGCGTGTAGACGTTTTATCTCAGAAGCAATGCTCAGACGTAAACCCAGTATGTGTCCATGTTCTACGTACACACTGAAATAAAAATGCAAAACTCAAAAGAGCATGACAGATGATGCTAGAAAAACCCTCCCATGGTCTTCAATTATAAATAAGGACTGCGGGTTTCGACTGCAGTCTTACGAACTCGAAGCCAATATAGTTGAACAGAACGTGTTTACAAAATTTTGCAACACAAGACTAATATCTTTTTTTTTAAAAAACATTGTGTACTAGATGAAATACAAAGGCTTTGGTCTGTTTTACAATCAACAATGATTAAATCTGATATGTACTTGTAAACAACTGCCAAACACTTAAGTTTAAAACTCTGTCAAGCAATGTTTAATCATAATTATAGGAATTAAATATTTCTAGTTGCACATTTTTTTTTGACCATAGGACACTATAATACAACTATACCTAAGAGACAAATTGTACCTGACCCTAAAGAAAATGTATTTTATGATGCATGGAACATTTATAGAATATTCTGGGGGGGGGAGGGGGATAAATGAAATCAACTTTTATTGGTGAAATCTTTCTGGAAGATTTCTAGGGAAGACAAGTACTTTACATTTTGACATAAACAAACTGGATTATATCGAAGATGCAGTCTACCATTTACAGACTACAGGGTTTTTTTGCACCCGTGTTTTCCACATTTAACGTTCTTCGTGGTAATCAAGTGTCAATCCAACCACCAAAGCAAAAGGGTCCGAGTTGGGTTGCGTGTCGCACCTTCTTTGCACACTTGAAGCTGTTCATAGTGATCCGTGTCTAATAAGCCAGCAAATGCAGGCTCACGTCAGAGGAGCCAAGACCACAGCCTCAGTGGGTGGATCGAGTTTGAGTTTCCTCTGCTAAAATATCCATTCGCAAGAAATAAGACCAATAAATAGTTGTTGCTTCTTTTGTGTTTTTTTTCTTTGACACAGTAAGAGTCTTCCCTCCAGCTTTTCGTCTTTAATGATATGCAACAGCGTCCAGAGACCATGCAAAGGCTGGTAGAAAGTCTTGATATAAGCAGATTAAAAGATAGTCATGGCAGAATCTCTCAGGTGCTCCTCTCTCAAACAAACGCAAGACCAACATGCTTTTCTAGCAGTCCATCTATCAGTACTTGATCTTGGTTTTTCATATTAACATACAAATGGCCATTTACAAACACACCAGAGAACAAAAGGAAACAATGACTGAAGTTGGAAATAGAAAAAAAAAAAAAAACAGATAAGAAGTTTTTGTTCCATATAAATTTAACACCGGGCACTTTACAGAGGTCCATTCCCCCCCCCCCCCCCCCCCCGATCTTTCCATCGTTGTTCACTCTTCCAAGTCCTCGTTTGAATGTGCCTAGAGCTACATAACAGCACACTGTCCCACTGGAAAAACAAAGCCCAGACGTCCCAAAGGCTCTCCCAGAGTCCCTTTAGCTCTCTTTTTTTTCCCCTCCTCTTCTGTCTGTTGCCTCCTTTCAACCCTCTCTCGCCTTCTTTACTCTCCTGTGCCGTGTATGTGTGAGGAACACTGCCGGAGGGCGATGGTGGAGTGGGTGGTTACAGGGTGAAGTAGCTCTTCTCTCTACTGTAGTCTTGACCAGTACTGAGACATGTCAGGCTCGCTTCCTGGGACTTGGACTGGGACAGACACTCCAGGAGAGATGAGTCCTGTGAAGACAAAGAGAGAAAGATTGATGTCAGATTGGAAACACGTAAGGAAGTTTAAAAAAAAAAAAAAAAAAAGCTGTCTAAATGCTAAAATTAGATGAGCAGGTTTACCATGCACGGTTAGTACGACAGTTAACTAACAGAGCATTGTGCTTTAAATGCTTGCAAATAGGTAGATGAGCATGGGCCTGCAATGAGTCACAAAGCTCTGCACGTGGTGGCTCGGTAAAATGCTTGCAAGCTCAATAAATTGAGGCTTTGGCAATGGCATTTAAACAGAGAGAATACAACAGCAAATGAATCAAATTAATTAGCAATTTAGCACAGAGGAAATGTGGTTATGCATGATTAACTCTTCATGACTATAACCGGTATATATGGCTCTCAGTAACATCCTAATGGGGTGGAACTAAACTATGGGCTGGAGTAGTGGGGTTGACATGATGGCCCAGAGTGGCAAAGAAATGAGCCTCGTTCATGCAACTGCGGAGAGAAAAATGATGTGCGATGTAGAGATATAGATCCTCAGACATTTAAACCAAAGGAAAAGGAAACTTGGGATGACAGATCATGAATCAGACATGACTCTGTAGTATCCCCTGATTACTGGAAAGGTGGCAGATATTTCAAAGAGTGCAGTGTTTGCTTTTTTAACTCCCAAGCAGGCTGCTTTAAAAATAAAAAATTAAAAAAGTGAAATTTTCTGCCTACCTGTTGAGGTGGTACCAGAAGTGGTCATAGATTGGCTGTTCATATGTGCCTGCATATGAGGGGGCGTGTATGTTTCGTAGCTCCGCCCGTTCACAGGCGGACTGGTAGGCAGCATGCAGGAATAAGAGGAGGTCTGGCTGGGCTAAAAATGAGGAGAGAATGTTACATTAGCTTAGCCAACCATAATTTGCAGCTCAGTAGTCTGTAATCTAGTTTGTCTGCTTTTAACACTATCAAATTATTTCACGAATCCTTTAGTTACAGTATGCAGGCCTATGTAATTTTGTACTTTTTTTTGCCACTCTTATAGTCACACCAGTCACTGTAAAAACCCAGCTTTAAATTCATTTTATTTCAGCACTCGTATGTAATGTATGCAGAGTATTTGACTTACTTGCATAGGTAGATTGTTTGCCATGGTGAAGCTGGGCATCGGCGGCAGCGCACTGTAGGTGTTTGTGAGTGCGGTGTCAGGTCTACCCAGCATTGACCCCGAGGTGAACGACACTGTGGATGAAAATGAAAACTCGCTTGAAACCGCAGAAATCTCACACACACTGAGCTCCGGTGAGAGAAGTCATCTCATTAGCGTTAAGCAGTGCGTGCGGAAGGTGACGCCTTATTTGACAGGCTGATGGGCCCGGACAGATAGCTCTACAGCGAGAGCCTCAGGTGATTGACTTCACGAGCTTCAGCTCTGCCGGTGTACCCTCGTGCCTGATTCGGTAATTGCTCAGATAGTCAGCTGAGAAGTTTTGCTCAATCATCCATCAAAGGGAAGCAACGGCGCTTCTTCATGCGAACTAGAGCTCACAGCCACCGAGGCCTCCTTTGCCCTTTTTATATGAATCCGCAGGTTGTGGCATGATACTGTTTAGTAAATATTTAACCCACTGAGCCTATGGAACCCATCACAGTATTAATGCATTAATTTTTTTTTTAACAAAGTAGTGTGTGCTTGTGCTTGTGTGTGTGAAGTAGGACTGCACTTTTAATAATTTCAGTTGAAAAATTAAATTTAAGTATTATTTTACCTTACTGGGCATATGGTCAAAGTAATATCTCTGATTAGGTTGACCTACCCGGTGTGGTGGGCTGTGGAATGGCCTGGTAGACGCTGGT